TTTCGAATTAAAAATGCAAGGTTGGGGCAAGTTGCTACACTTCGATCGGGGCGGGTAGTTACAGTATAACAATTTATCCCACTAAAAACAATTTCTTTTCTTCTACGGAATGATGCTCAGACTTCTATAAATAGACTGCCAACTTCGTTTCTATGTTTGAAGACAGCGCTGGGCAGCACTATATTTATGTTCACTCACTCTTAAATGTATAAATCACACGGATAATAATGTTAGTGTTTTTATATAAATTTATGCGATATTCACAGACAGGACGCATATGTGAATTGAAATAAAGACAGCTCGGAATCAGGTTTATCTCTTTCTATCATATTGAGTCAGCAGTTTAGTTATAAAAGTCTATGGAAAAAAATGATACTATCTTACAGAAAAAAAGACAAACAGAAGATCTATAAATGAGAAACGTATGCGACAGCGAAAGTTAAAGGAAGTTATAGATGGCTACCTGTCTGTGAGAAAAGCAGCAAATGCACGTAATATTAATTTAATGACTTTCCAACGTTAACTTTAATAACTAATTAAAAAAAAAGTTTTTGTAATATTATATTTTTTAAATTTTATATCATAAAATAAATGTTTCTTGTGAAGTATTTCGTGTTCGATTTAATTGTAATCTTGAATTTGCTTACATGTACATATATTTACATTTCAAGTAATACTGTAAATGTAACATCTTGCCCCACAGTGGGGTAAGTTATTACAATTTACCTACTGATAAAAAATTTTAATTTTCAGTATTTAAAGACAGATACAAAAAAATTACTATCTAATTAAAGATGTACTGCATCTTTGCAGAAGCAATGCATAGGTATTCATTAATTTAAATTAGTACGGAAAAAATTACTAATCAAAAATTGTAACAACTTGCCCCGGTCTCCCCTATTTACATGTTTTTTTATTATACTCTAGATTTATAAAATAGATTTATAAATTTATAAAAAAGTAGTTAAGCTATATATTTGTTAAGAGATAATGTATCACATTTAATGTAATTATATTTACAACTTTTTACTGCTTTAAATTAAATACAGTGCAAACTAATTTCCTCATAAATATAAATGATACGTAAAGAAATTTTCAGATTCAAATCTAATTGATTAAAGTATTATTAAACTAACGGCTTACCAGTTAAAATAGCGTCACCTGTGGTCTCCAATAATGCATTATTTTCACAGCACAGTATTTGCTCGCTCGTACTCAAAGTTAACAGAATACTTAGCAAGAACGAAGCCTTAATGAGCATATCATTCGCCATCGTTTAATTTGTCATCAAGGCATAAATTACGCGCATACGAACTTCGGCAAATAAAATCTGTATTCTAATCACTAATAGCTTTAAATTAATTTTGTAAGATTTTCCTAGAAGTTATATTTTCCATAGTTTATTATTTATTTATTTTACAATGAAACAACATTAAAATCAAAAAAGGAAGATAAGGAAGATAATTTAGCAATAAATTAATGATTACATAATTCTTTGCTGCTATTTTATATTATTTTATACTGTTATTTTGCGTTATTTTTATATTTGTATTATTATTATAGGTTTCACTTCGATTAGCCATGAAGATTAGCATTCAGCAATTGTGATTTTAAGTGACACTATGTAATTTTTGCAAAGAATTGTTTAGCACAAAAGGCATTTTTCATGAAAGTTCTGTCCGTTTTCTTGAGCGTTAATTTCGATGGCATTTATTAAGTCGCGTGACAAGTGCCACTTCGGCGTTTAACAATCAGTACAAAACACGCACATCCCGTTTTACCTTCGCTGTTCCAATTTTTGTGATTACGTCCGGCGGACGTCAGAGCCTATTTTACGCTTAGCTGATGGACCTAAAGCTTCAGAACCTTAACTTTGATATTGATCTTCCTTCTTGAATAATTTTGTTACTTGGAAAAATTCTACTCTCCGCGAATATAATTTCCGTCGAGATGCACATGACTAATTGCTCTTCGAATTATGTCGTTGACGAATTTTCACGCCTCGGGAAGTTTCGCCACTTTGAACGTACTCGTCCCCAAGCACTTGATAAATTATTCTGAGTGGTTTTGTCACTTCGAAAAATTCTCCCCCGAACAATAGTGAACTCCAGATTCCCCAGGTCGTCGCGAGAATCGCTACGTTCTTTCTCATTCCATGACATGTGGAGTAAAAGTCGCCATGACACTATACAAGACATTCGATGCTATCTATGGAAGCCGTACTCTTGTCAAGCTAGCTCTATGTTTTTTTAAATGGATTATATGTGTGTGTGTGTGATCAGTCACGTTGCTGCTAGGCGTGATACGTAATTGACAGTTGACTTTTTCTTTTTTATTGCTGTTGAGTAAAAAGATTTAAGTAGAATTTGGATAGAATTTGCACGGAAAGGACAGTTTTGCTCAAGAATTTAGCTAGATATAGATTTGAACATAATTTTATTGGACTAATTATATAGAACGCTGATTGCTAGAATGATTATACATTTTACGCAGCTTAATGCTTGAGATTTCTACGTAATTATTTTTATAATCCAACAAAATTATTTTCAGATCTATATTTAGTTAAATTTTTAGATAATTGAACAAAATTGTTTTTTCCGTGTGATCAATATACTATACATTAGGCTTTATCTCGTTAAACTTTACAATTTTATTACACTCCGAAATTAAAAATACAATTACCTTCAATATTTTTTTTATATATTATTATATAGTCATCATTATTATACACGAAATACATGTTATAAAATATAAAACGTCGTCTTATTCTACGTGACTTCGTAAATATTTTAAAAAATAGCATTTGATGTTAATTTTATTGGAGTCAGAACGATAGTTTAATCACCCTCCGACCTGTTAAGCTATTTCTTCGTTGAGAAGAAGACTGAGAATCAATATAAAGGCGTAGTTAACTTAATTTTTACAAATCCGTTTTACGACGCCGCATCTTCGTGATTACGAATTTAATTTGTCTAAAACATAGGGCAAATGTTACGACGACTGTTATATAATGATTTTATATCCCTCGTGATATTTTACTTTCTGCCAGAAAGATTGGCAGAAATATCTTCATGGAAATTTTCTCATTTGAACCTTTCTATGTCGGCTTTAAAATATTAAATGTATATTTTGTGCTCTTTCCTCTTTTTTTCATATACAAATGTTGGTTGCTTTATAGACGTGACGTGGAAAAAGTTTAAAAGTTATAACTTTTTATTATAAGTAAGATACTTATCAAGCTGATATTTCGTGAAAAATTATATATTTTATATTGATACATTTTGATATAATAAAATATGAAATAACTCTTCAATTATTCATCGGTCAAAATATTCATATTCGTAGATCTTATCATATCTTTATGTATATGTTATTCAAAACACATCAGAAAATGTGAGAGTTGCACAAGAAACTTTTACTCATAGGAGTTTGGAAAGTCTCCAACTGACAACTGAAAAATCGCTACGATTTTTTGATACGAGTGCTTATAAATCGTTATTTATAATACTAGATTGTCAATATCACTAGTGGAATGGTCATAGTTCTACGATGATTAAGATAAGATTATCGTAGAGCATATTTATTTGCTAGTTTTTCAATTAACGTTTATCTTCTAAAGCTTTGTAATATGTTCGAGACACTCTACAGCTCCAGACGGAGTCCAATGTAAACTCCGGAACCAAAACGCAAAGCCATCGATGCAAAAAGATTCAATGTGACTCAACTCACATTGAATTTTTTTGCGATGCCGATGGTTTTGTTTTGGTCCCGAAACTAAAATTGGACAAGCCTACTCTATAGGAACGATAAAATATATAGTCGTTCTAGCTATAGATATATCTGTGTGGGGTCATCTACTAGCAGGTGGCAGGTAGCTCGAATGTCCAACATAGCATTCGAGCGTGACACAGCACGTCTCTATCCTAGACCCGGTCTAAGGCATGCTTGTATTTCTGATATGGCTGCGATAGTCATTTTCCCCGGAATCATAATTAACGCACGTTGCCGTGCACGCGAGATTAGACAATCTCTCGGGATCCCCAAAATAGCGTGAACGTCCGTTTTGAACTTTTATCGAGCACAAAGACGTCTATTATTCTGAGAGTTTTTCTTTTTCCGATAAGAGAATCGCGTAGCCACGAATATATCTAGAGCGGTTCCACACGTACGAGAAACGTCTATAAATTCGGTCCTAGACTCCGAAACTTGTGATTCCGTACACGGCCAGCATGCCAGCCGAGGAAGTGGCCGGCTAGCGAGCTGCTTCGATCTGTACACTCGGTTGCTTCTCGCTAGGCGCACACAGGCCTAGACATCTATATAATCGAGCTACGTTAGTAATTACCTGGCTAGGGTCGCACCACAATGCTCTGTAATTATCCGAAAAGTTGCGTGAATGGAGACGGTAGGATTTAGAAAGCCGACAGCGGAGATCGAATATTCAGTGAACACGAAAGATGCTTTTTTTTAAGACTGTCTATTGTTCTAATTGTGTCGTATTTATAAATTTAATGGGAATAATAATTTTAAAAAAATCATATACAGTATAATAAATATGTAAAATAAAAGATACTAAATGTAAAGCACAAAGAATTTCCTCTTATCCTATATAATTTTTAATATATTTTTTAATGTTTTTCGTCTTCACAAAGTAAGATAATTCAATCCATTATAGAATGTAAAACATATAGTTAACTAATATAATAAAATAAAATACGCTTTTAGATTTGAATTTACATTATAAATAAATAGAATCATAGTAATTTAGGAACGGAAGTTAAAATTAAAAACCACTGTATTTCAAAATTATTTTTATCTTTCATATTAGCTTTTCTTTCAATTTATAATTTTATTAGAAATACTTATAAGATTATAATAATACGCTGGAGATATATATATATATATATCTAAAAATGTATCTCTCAACTAGTGTAATAATTTTAAAACAGCAATTCTGTTTCCATTCAATTTGACGCAAGAGAAAAAAATTGTCATTTTTAAAATTTCATGATGCATCTTACTTCCAATCGAAATTCTACTTTTGAACTTTGAAATTTGTTCATGAATCTATCGCAAGGTTGCAATGTATCGCCTCTTGTTCGTCATGTCCAGTTAACGCCAACGCGCTTGACATGAATCTCTCACCCTGTAGATTGTCCCCAGCTAGAAAAATCTCTGCAATCGTGTGCGCATTGCATGTCAAGGACGTCCCATTATACAACTATGGACAGTTGCAAAAGTTTCTGTATAAAGGAGACGACAGATCGCCGCATTGTTATCGAACGACATCTCACCAACTTTAAATTCGGGATTTACCGCGACCTGGAAACAAAAGAAAAAGCTACTCATCTCGAAATCCTCTGTGGAGTGATGGAATCGAAGTCCGCGATACTCGCGAACTCGCTTAAAGAGATCTCGTATTTAATATTTATGAAAATGACTTTATTACGACCGTGCCTTGAGCGTATAATGTCCTGGCTCGAGCTCGGAAATATCCACCCACTGGCAGTCGATATTGTGTTTGTAAATGTCACTGCAATTAACGGAAATACCTTGGTCTCCGTAATTGGCACATTTGTATCTAAAACGATAACGATATTTCAAATTATAAACTTCAACTAATAAACGGATTTAATGGCGATCATAATCGCAAAAAGAACAAGAAGGAATAACGATAAAATTACACGTGCGTGTCAAGCACGAAAAGAGGGGCTTACTATTGTTATCATGTGTTATTACAATTTTTACCTGGGTTGAATATCGGGCATACATTGATTGTCTTCGAGGCAGAAGGACGCTTTATGACCTTCGGCAACTTTATTGCCGCTCGAATCGATTACGTCGAAAGTAGCGAATACTTCCATCGAATGATAATGCCTGCAAAACGAGAATGGTCAGAATTAATGTTTCTTTCCTGCGTCGAAATTTATTTTTATCATTGTAAAAATAATTCCCAAATTTAATCCCAGTGTTTTAAATAATCGATAAATTTAATTAAAATTTAAAAAAAATCATTTATTGCGAAATGTCCGAAATTCTTCACATAATGTTTTAAACTAATTAAAATGTTTTATTTTCTTATCAAAATTTTCCAAAAATTTAATTTTTATTCCTTATGGCCTGATCGAAAATGGTTAAATATTATTTATTTGGACTATTTTTATCTGATATATAATAATTAAAAAACAAATTGAACCGTTATAGTACACAGGATGCATCACTGAACGTTAAATGCTATTTACATTGAATTTAATTTTGCGCTCTGAGAACCGCGCCTGACTCATAATAATCGTTTTTTCTGTTAATAATTTTAATTATCAATTTTAATTAAGACTGTATTTATTTTTCTGTTTAAAGTTTTGCTTTTCATTTTTTATTAGCGATTTTTTATTAGAGATGTTAATAACCAATTACACAGGCCTGCAAAATTGGAGGTGTTGAAAGTTGATTGGGATTTAACTATGTTTTCTTACGTAATTTTTCGCGCTGAATCCGAATCCGGCGGCAGAATTGCTCTATCACGTCAGGTTTTTGAGAAAAGTGAGGTTAAAAGTGTCAAAATTGACGGTTTTTGACATATTTATGATTTTTTTGCTAGCGAAGTAAATTTTTTTTTCTACTTTCGTTTACGCCATCTGAAAGTGTCAACATTTATCTTCAAAATATATTTTTTTTAACGCCGTACGTTTTTTTTCCCCGAGATAATCTCTGTGTAGTCACACAAAGAAAAACATTTTTGACATAAAATGTTTGTGTGATTACGCAGAGATTACCTATATGTTTTCTTACGTAATTTTTCGCGCTGAATCCGAATCCGGCTGCAGAATTGCTCTATCACGTCGAGATTTCGAGAAATTGAATTTCAAATATGGCTGAAAATGGCTTATTTGGCTGTTTTGGGTTAAAATTTCTCGAAATCTCGACGAAAAAAAAAAATTTACTTCGCTAGCAAAAAATCACAAATATGTCAAAAAACATCAATTTTGACACCTTTAACCTCACTTTTCTCAAAAACCTGACGTGATAGAGCAATTCTGCCGCCGGATTCGGATTCAGCGCGAAAAATTACGTAAGAAAACATAGTTAAATCTCAATCAACAAAACCATGCAGGCCTGTGTTATCATTCCGAATAATTTTCTTTATATAACTCATTGATTTCAAATATTCTGCAGTTATTATTCATTAATGGATACTCGTACTAAGAATACTGAAAATATCCTGTGTATATCGATATATTACCTAGTGTATCCGGTAAATACATCTAATATTCGAATAAATAAATAAAAATTCATTGAAAATACTTATTCGAATACACTTATTTTTTATTCGTTAAGAAACGAATAAATACTTTTTCATTCCATTTGAATGAATATTTTTTGAATATGATTACGAATATTTTCGTTTCGTATTCACTTTTACTCTGTATTATCCGCACAATGCTTGCAAGCCTGCAAGAAAAAACAAATCTATAAAATCAACTACTGACTACGATTACCGTGTGCTTAGTTCGCAATCTATACGATCCTATACGAAATGCGTCTTTGTTTAACCTATAGATTAAACAAAGAGATAAATATTTTTATTGGGAATAAATAACATATCTGGGAATTTAATGGCCACAGATTATAATGAAAGACCTGCCCAAGATATCTTACAAAATGTTTATAACATTGCTGTGATGTAACCGGAATTATATTGGAATATGTACACGGAGAGAATTTTTTCTTAGAGAATTTACCCTGAAAATATGACAGTCGTGGGACAACACTGTATTTCGAAGAATTTTAATATAAATCTCTCTCATTTATTAATAAAACTACAATAAAGTATAAAATAAGTTTGATCAATTTTACTGAAGTGCATGGTAAAAATCTTCAAAATATTGTATTGTACCACAATCATCATATTTTCAGGGTAAATTTTAAAAGAAAATTTTCTCTGTGTATGGCGCTCTATCAAATAGATATCTATAAATAAAAAATGTATTGCTTTCTAAAATATTTTTTTTAATTTCTAAGTTTCCTTCATGAAATCTGAATATTACAATGACAAAAATAAATAAAATTAATTTTTTTTTACTTAAAGTCATCACAGTACAGGTCATAGTTAAGAGGTAACGATTGCTTATTAGAGCTTTCTTTTTCAGTTTATATTTTGTTTGAATAAATATGAATACTCGTTAAATATTCATAGTTTTTTTTTGTGAATAAATATTTTTTAAAAACCCAAAATTTTGAATGAATATATGATTACATTTTTTTTTATGTGAAAATTTTGAATAAATATAATTTAAAATTCAATTACAAATTTTTGTATTCATCGGGTATCACTATAATATTAACCCTCGAACGACAAAGTTTCTTCAAAACGTATCTGATAAGGTAGAATTAGATCCAATTTAACGCTTCGTTTTGTTTATTTTTCATGTAGTCAATGTACAAAATGAGTAAAAAAATAAATAATAATATAAATCTTCTTCCTCTGTTTACTTACAAAAAAAATATATAGATACATACAAACAAAAGGACCGTATTTGGTTAAAGTAGATGTTGAGGCTAATATATGTAATATTTTTTAGTGGACCTTACCATTTTCAGTTTAAGCAACAAAATTCATGTAAAAAATGTAATAAAGTTTAAAATAGAAATAATAGGGAGCATACAGCCACAGCACTAGATATTTTAAGCGAAAAGTCATATATTTAAAATTATATTATGTTAAAAGTAGACGTTTCGGTCAAGATTTGACCATCATCAGTACATTAAAATATAAAAATGTTACATAAATTAAAGAATATTCACAATAAACGCTAGTCAAAAATTGATAGCGAAACATTTTTGTCAGTAATGATTCTTACTAAAAGTTTTCCAAGACTTGTCGTTAATTTACACTATTAACTCCGAATTACACTTGCGATGACTTGTGTCACAAAATATGTGAATCTAGGAATTCCGTATTTCTCACACGAAATCTCACATAGCTTCTAGTAATAAGGAATTCATAACGCAAGTAGAAATCTATTTCATAAGCGATTGCAAAATTCGTCATCTTCAATTCTGGACTTACAATTCTGTTAACTCGTTTCATAAACGAATGCAAAATTGTTTCACTATCAATTCTTGACTAGCGTTTATTGTTAATATTCTTTAATTTATATAACATCTTTATATTTTAATGTACTGATGATGGTCAAATCTTGACCGAAACGTCTAATTTTTATCATAATATAATTTTAAATATATGACTTTCACATTTAAAACATCTAGTGCTGTGGCTGTGTATGCTCCCTATTATTTATATTTTGTACTTTTAAGCCACCTTTAAAAGTTTAAAAATAATAAAGTTTATTAATTGACTTCAAATAATTGCAGTAAAATAAAAAATACTTTGGTATTCATATATTTCAAATTTTATATGTAGGCCCGTTTTAAGTCTTAAGATGGCATGAACCAATCAGAGGGCTGTATTAGCATCTTAAGGCATTACTTAAGACGATGTTAAAATAAGAACCGACTATGAATACCAACCTTTGACTGGCGAAGCTATGGGATCATATATATTGGACCTCGTCAATAAAAATTAAAGCGGAAAAAGATTGTTTATCAGTGCTCATTCAGCGCCGTTATTGTCGATTGACTCACATATGACACATGTGCCATTCCCATAGATGTTTAGGCACAGATGGACGGAAATCCGCGGTACCCGCATTTAAGATTCTTGCGGTGAAGCGCAACAGTCGTCTTGTCTCCAGGTGCCAATTTTCAGACTCGCTTTGCATCTTGTAGGCTTGCGAGGCCACGCAATTTTCCTCCATTGCACATTGCAACCAGTACAGCTGACGGTCTTCCAAATGTGCCGTGCGCATCAGTTCGATGTGATCGAACACAAGATCAGCCATCTCCCGATGACACACCACCCCTGCCATGTTCTCCGTTGATCCTAAAATTACGATAAGATTATTTCGTGTCGACCCATTTTACAATTGCATAAGCGTAAATGGTTATAAGAATTTATCAATCAGTCGAATATTCTCCTCAAATTCGATTGTGATTGGTCAATTCTTACAACTACAGCCACTTATATCTATACACTTACCCAATTGTAGAATAATAATTTTTACGCGATACCAAATGTACAATGAATACTAAAATTTCACGCTCACTTTTTGAGATAAACACGTACCTTCTTCTAATATTTTTTATTTCAGATGTGTATGTTAACATTTATTACTAACACCGATATATTTGACAAATACTGCATAGGAAAGAAAATAGAAAAATAATATTTTTACTATCAGATTTACATAGAAAATCAGCTGTGACATAAATCGGAAATAAGGAGTTTGTATAAAATATTTTTTGTTCACAAACTTACATTTTTTCTAACTTCTGACATAACTGATTTCTTATATGCAAGTCTGATAAAGAAAATAACCTCCGCAAACTTTTCTCATTTCTTTTATATTTATGGAATATTTCTCCTTCACAGAATATTTTAATTAATCTTTAGAATACACAATTAAATACTTGGGCGATTAAGGAATAATTGGTATTTAACTCTTCATCTGTAATTTGGATCATTTTTAACATAAGCAAAAGGACTATGCCCAGTTTTATAGAGGAATTTGGGCCCTGGCTGAACAACTTTGAGACATGCCTAAAATTTTAAGATATCAACAGAGAATCAAAAATTCCATAAACCCAACTTTATAGGAGAGTTTCTTGAGCTAGAACTATCCAAAGTTCTCTATTATGACCATATACCACTAATCTTATCCAATTTCTCTGCGTCCAAGGCACCTCCCCGCGGTGACGGCGCGGCGGTAACGGATTGTACCAAAGAAATAAAAGTAATATCTAAAATGTACAGTTCATTAATCCGGCTAAGTCCCTGGTCGCGATTCATGTCATCATGTCACAGAAATTCGGATTTGCTTGTAATGACGGCAATGCCCCTAGAGTTCGCTCTGAGGGAGAAGATGGTCAAGCGGTAAATGTACCAATCGGGGTAAACCAGCCTTGGTACGAGGTCACCCCGAAGCAGCTACTGATCGTGATGAGATTCATTGTGGGTAATGTGGAAAATATTTAAAAAACCAGTCGCGTAAACATTTGTTGGCTGGGGAAGTGCTAGATTTCTTGGAACAAGAGCCTAGTAGTTCCACAAGAGCCCCACTCAACACATTTAAATATATATGTCATGCCTGTTGGTGCCATTATAAAAGAAAACGTACTGAAACGAACGATGGAAACGTTACAGTTAAAAATACTGAACCGCAGACTCTTTGTCAAATCAATTAAAACCTTTTGTTTCATACTTTGAGTGTCTCTCTCCCCTTTTCACCGATTAATATATATCACCATCAGGGAATGGAAAGTTACTTTTTAAAAGTAACAAGTTACAGTTACTCGTTACCCAGTAGGAAAAGTAACAAGTTACCGTTACTAG